CCCCAAAACCCCAAAACCCCAAAACCCCGGTTTTAAGGATTTATGTTGAAATAAAACATTATTGCACAATTCCAAATATAGATCCGTTTTTGATGTGAATCTGCCTGTAAAACCACTTCTTTCTGAACTTGGCTAATTTATTGTTGATTGAATTGATTCTGGCTAAGAAATGAAACATTTGGCTTACCTTCCATTCTTACTAATTTCCCCAGACTTTTCCTGAACTAAACCTCACTAAGTTAGTCTTACCTTGTAAATATCAAGTTCGATACTGATGTCTTGCAATTTAGTGTACATCCAAGCTACTTGGAGTATCTTCTCTAACTGGGAATATGTCTAAAAAATAGGTTATTTAAAAGCTTATCATCTAGCAGCACCAGGAACATGAAAATTTTTAATTGGGCAGTCAGAGATATATTTTTCTGTATGAAATACTCTTGAAATCATGACTAAAATATAGCTTACAGTGACTTTGTAGTGCGCTTTTGAAAGATCATGGAAACTTTCTAGTGTAAATGATTCAATAGTTTTATGCCCGATTTGATAAATATCCAAGATATCATAAGTGTCTGATCCTCAGAGTTCTAAAATTAGCCACCAATACTTACCCTTTGAGATTTCAGGAATGAAGTATCTAGATTTCTGGGCTATAGATTCCTCTATATCAAGACATAGAGGAATCGTTCTAGGCAAATGCTCGAGTAACTCATGAAACTTATTGATCTGAATTCTTTTATAGTCTGGTTTTGACGGCTTCTTCTTAGGCTTATCCTTCTTAGAAATTGTAAACACGCCTCCTGTTATTTCAGAAATTGGGATAACCAGTAACAAATTTTTGACCTATGCTTAAAATATTTTTAGATTACTTTATGAAAAGATTTATAAAGTATTCCTTGGGCCATGATCTTATCAAACTCTGGGACTAAGTCGTCCTCTGTAATAGTTCCTTCAAAACATGCGAAATCCCAGAACAGAATGTATTCGTGATCAATCACAGCAACTTGGCATTTTAGAGGGAACTTATATGTAAGATCTTTGAGTGATAATTTCTCTAAAAATTAACTTGGAAACTACCTATTGTGTCTAAATCCATATAATGGAATACACATGCTTTTCTTGCACTTAGAGAGAACTTATTGTCAGTATCTTTCTTGTTTATTGTCTAAAAATAAAGCAGAAAGCATACTGGGATTGATACCTTTACCTCTCCATACTTCTCTAAGAAGAACTTAAAGAAGTCTGTTTCGAGGAGATATTGCTTGTGTTGACCAATCAGAGTGATTTTATCTAATAGAGTCATCAAAAAGTTTACTGTCTCCAAGATAGTTCTTGATATACCTGGTCAAATATTGTTGGTCATCTGAGTCCAGCTCTTTTGGAATTTCACTTATTTTGAAAGATGTCAATTTTATATGACCTAAAACATTCTATCGGGATGCTTACTGAGATCCTTATCAGAATCAAGGAAGTCTTGCTTGAACTAAGAGTTAGCAACAAATATTACTGTAGAATAATCTAATGATAAATGAGTAGTATAGTCTTTGATTTTATCGAAGAAATATTGCTTTGTAAAATCTCTCTCTATTGCTCAATCTTCTTTGATTTTCTACAAGGTAAGACTACAACTCTACTCTCAGATAGCTGATGTCATCAACCTCTCCACTAATGAAGAGAGTATTATCGTATTCTACCACTCTGTCTGGAGAGAATAAAATCCGAAGTCTTGAGACAGGATTTTCAACATCTTGTTCCAAATCTTCTTTCTAATCAGTAATACTTATTGTTTACCGAGATAAAGTTCAACAGCATTATTTTGTATGAAACATTCCCAATATAATAATCTTCAAGACTCTGATGTGTTAAGCCTAACTGGCTCTCAAGAGTTGAAATTATTGACTTAGTTAGAGAGTAAGAAAGAGCACTCGTATCCGGCATCGCAATAGATTTAATGGTTAGATGCTGAGGATGTGATAGAACTTTTAAAAATTTCTTAAAGATTTCAAAATCACGACTTGTGATTAGGCTATAATTGTTCTGAAAAATACCTAATTTTGAGTGTCTTCATGTAAAGTTCATTTCCTATTGCCTAAATCTTTAGTCTCGATTAATACCATTAGTTTGCCAAGAATTCCTGAGGAAGGAATTACAGAACACTCTTCTGCTTGGTAGCCTAGGAATCAACAAGAAATATCACCTGAGTATTTTCTAAAGTATACAATCCAATTGACTTCATTCTTGAGCCATAATTTTCGGGATTTATGCTTAAGCTGTGTCATCAACCCCTTAGAAACTTTAAGATTTCCATAATATGAGAGGATGATGATTGCTAACTCTAGTGATTCAAGGTGCTATAGGATATAACTCTCATATGATAGCTCTCTTACCTTGTCCATATTGCCAAAGATAATACAATTATATTAGAAATCATTGGGGTTTTGGGGTTTTGGGGTTTTGGGGTTTTGGGG